GCTTTAAGAATACCAGCTTGAATTCTTTTTAGAACGGAGTTTAGTGTCACTTTGACTGTAATTTTACTACTTTGGTTTTCTAAGACCCATTACATATTGTACTGTGCAAATTTTGTCGTCCCTCTGATCCATCTGAGTTTAGAGGTCATAGAGGAAAATGTAGAGATTAGGCTGTCATTTCTGCTGATGAGTAGATAATAATGGTGTGTATTATAAGAAAAAAGAACCTTTTTATCGCCTGATCTTAGTGTGGCAAAATTGAGGTGGGAATTTATTGGTGCTAATCAGTAAAAGCAGCTTGGCCTCAAGCCTCTAAATCAACTCTGCCATGTCTGAACAAATGACTCTGTTGAATATGGAGTGCAATGAATTTTAAATGCATAAGTATTACAATCAGGACGCATAGAGGAAAGTGCTCATCAGGTTTAAATGTGAGAAATATTCTCTCCTCTGGAACCCAGCAATAAATGCTAATCCCGCAGTGCAAGTGGAGGCGATCTTTACCGCTAAAGCTTCTTAGTGCCACAAGCCTGTTATTCTTTGGGTTCGCAAAGGTCAATAAGCTCTTCAATATGAATTTTACTGTCTGCAAGCCCAATATAATGTATTGAGGTGAGTGTGCCTGTTGCTGATCAAGTGTCTCTCATTTTTTTGACAAATAGTGTGACATGCATGAAAAATCAGAAGCGATATTATAAATGTGTCCCATTTATAGTGCAATGACAGATTCCTCAGTGATTTACAGTAATCATTCAACTATTTACATTCCTTTTGTTTAAGTAATAGACTTTTAAAGTGTTACTAAACCCTGCATTCACTATATCTGGTCTTCCACAGTACACAGAACATGGAAATGCAATTATTTTAGTAAATACAAACTGTTAAATACATTTTCTCATCAGCAGTTAGAGCAGTCTTGTTATTTCAGCTGAGCACTGGTTAAAGCTTGTAGGAGGTTTCTTTTTGCTCTAGGAGGATGCAGAACCCCTGACCTCTGTCAGAACAGTGTTGATTGGCCCTGTGCTGATCACATGCACTCTCCTAAGGAAAAAAAAATCTCTATACACACTAAACTGAGCATGTGCAGAAGGGCTACGGTTCAGTCTGTCTTATCAGTGTGGACATTTGAACAAGTGGAGGGGTAGAGTGGACATATGAACAAGTGGAGGGATAGAGAAGTCAGGATCAAACAGCCTTTTCACACAGTGCAGAGGATTAACCCCTTAGGTTCCACAGGGACTATAACAAGCATACTTTACTGCATATACAGACTGATTTTACTGTTGTGGGTTTAGTAACACTTTTTAATGCCAGGTTTCCCCTATAACTATAGAGGTGCAAACTATTAGGGTGGTTTAGGCACAGACTGTGTCACCCAATTTTATATATTTATATTATGAGAGGATACCAGATTATTCAGTGAAACATTGCGTGGGCACAGAGAAGAATGTAAAAAGGATATCTAAATTTGTTTTTCTGGTGAGCACAGAATCCTGCCAGTGACTTTCACTAAAATCATTTAGAAACAAGCCGCCTGCAAAGACCTCCAGTACCTCTCCTGCTGGCTGCCCAATCTGTGCTCTAATCTACTGAATTTTAGATTGAAAGCGCATTGCTTTAAGTTGGCCATACACTGTTCGAATCTTCTCAAGTTCCTGATGAATTGGCTGAAATTTGCTTACTATGTGGCCCTGTCAGCCCCTTGCCTCCAATGTTATTGTATTAGAAAATTGAAGGAGAAGGGGAGAAAATTGCTGGCTGAATAGTGGCTGTTTGGATACTCGGCTGCCACAGGCTGAATGAAATATATCTTATAGGGTATGGCCAGCTTTATCTGCAGGAGTTTAGGGAAATTATGTAAATCCTCTGCTCAGTCCCTCAGACCACCCGCCGCCTCCAGCACTAACCGTGTACATGAGAAATCTGCCTTCCCAGCTGCATTATAAAAAAAGGTCAGTTACAGCTCTTTAGACATTTAACATGCCTGCTAGCAGTAGAAATGCCTGTTTATCACGTTGAGAGAAAAAAAAATCTAGGGGCATTGGATTGACTTTAAAGGATAAGTTCACCTTTGCCAACATGTTACATGGTCCACCTGTTTTTAGGGTGGAACATTTAACATGTTCCCGATTCTGAAACTGCTGCCCCTCCTTCTCCCATGTGACAGTAGTATGGGGAGAAATTCCCTGTAATAGCTGTCCGTTTTAAAAAAAAACGTGCACTCGTCATTGACACAGTTCTGTGAATGAACGGACTACAAGTCCTGACGGGCTTTGTGGCTGTCGGCTTGTAGTTCTCAGGGAACTACCATGGCAGTGTGATCAAATTGGCAAAAAACATCTATAAATGCAAGCCCTTTTTTTTTACTTATGTGGACAAGCACAAATACATAAATATCACTTCTCAGCCTTTTGGCTAAGATCAAGTGTAGTATTTGTTCTTATCCATTTCCAGTAGGGGTTCTCTGCCATCATTCTTGCCTTCTGGCAAGGATGGCTGGTGGTATATTACCTCTGCTGGTATGATGTGGGCTCTGAAGGTTAGTACAGGCTGGAAGAGAAACCAAGGTCCCCACAGGCTGTTGGGGCCCAGGAGTAATTCTCCTAGGAAAACTGGAAGGTCCCAGTTCCTTTTGATTTTGAATGGGTCTACCTTGTCTGGCCAGGGAGGCAGAGAGTCTGTGGAGCAGTGCTCCCTGGGGGTGGTCGCCTCAGGGTTGCTCTTAGTAACACATGGGGGTGGGATCCCATGTGTGAAAAGTGTACATGGTCACTGTTCAAAATGCTTTTTCTGCACTGTGCATTTTAGGGGTAGGCCTTTTGGCTAAGTCCAGGGCAGTTGTTTTTGCTACTGGCCCTAGCCAGTGCACAATTGCATGACCACTTATTTATTTTTTTTTCCTCACTGTGTTTTGTCACCTTTCTGTGTGTGTGTGTGTGTGTGTGTGTGTTTTATTTCTCACTTGGATGGAGGGTGTGGGTCCTCGGGCCTGCCCTCAAGCCTAGGGGGAGGATGTGTGGCCATTAGGTCTCTTTTTCCCCTGTTCCTGGGGTGTGTCTCTTTGGGAGAACTCCCTGACCTAGTACTTGGTGGTTTGCTCTGGCAAGCCAAAAGGAAAAGGGTCCGCCAGGCCTTTTGGCCAGAAGCCCTACCCCTTCGGGGATGGGGGGGGGGGTAAAAGCACACCCCTAAGTGCACTTATTTGCATTTGTTTTTGCCCTTTTTTTTTGTTCACTTAGGGGTATTTGTTTTTTTTTCGCCTCTTCACAGACTCAAACAAATAAATAAATGAAATAAAATATTATCCCTAACACTTCTTAACAGGAAAATCTAAGCACACAGCAGTCTATTCTTTTCTTTGATTTCCCCTCAAAATTGAATACCATTCTCAACTCTATTGCTTCAGACGCTCTTTTTTTTTTTTTTTTTTTTTTGGTTTTTGTTTTTAGTGCATAATTTTATGCATCACACTTTTAGATCTTATCTGACAACAGTCCACTGTTCAACCAGTGACTCTGCTGAACGAGTGTTTGCATTTTAAAGGGCAATTTTAACAGTTGTAAGCTTGCTTTTCATTTTTTCCTTTGTCACGTTTGGTATAAAACATTTCATAAATGATATATTTATCAAATAAACATTTCATATTTAACACCCTGGACAAGGTCCTCCTGATAAGAGACCAGATTTTGACAGGTACCGCTCCCATTTCCACTCCCGACCAGGCGATTGGAAGCAGAAGTTCTTCTCCACCCCCCACACCCTCGCTCCCCCCCCCCCCTCCCTCCCACCCACCCACCAGTCTTCTGGGGTATGCGACAGGTCCCAGAAGACTGTGGCACAATTCACGATGCACAGTGGGCACCTGTCTGTGAAGCCACAAAATGTCACGGCTGGATGCCCACACTTAAGATGCTGAGGACAGAGGACGGCCGGTGAACACACCGCTGGATCGTAGAACATGTGAGTGGCTGTTTTTTAAAAGTCAGTCGCTACAGTTTTTGCAGCTGCTATTATATATATATTTTTTTTTTACAGTAGACTGGAGCTCCGCTTTAAGTCAGTTGTTTGCAACATGAACTATTGAACTCTCTTTTACTATAAAAAGCCATTGTGCTGAGGGGAAATGAGAACAGGAGTCTTAAGGGTCAATGCACATCAGCAGGCATGTGTTGTGCTGCAGATAGCACATGGCTGCTGGTGTATGTTGTGCACCTGCACAGTCATGTGTTGTAACAACACATCACGGTCTTTACTTCCACTTCTCCCAGCAACACAATTAATTATGCTGTAATTTATTCTTCCCATAAAAGAGCTATTATTTGTGAGATTTTATTGTTTGTAGATATAATAATGACCTGTTAACAGCATTTAAACTGATGTATACTTTCTCTTAGCTCCTCTGGCTACAGTGATGGCTATGTGTTGGAATTCTTTCCTAGGCTAAGGACAGTAGCTTTTGCATATATTCTTGCAATTATTTACTGTATATAGGGAAAGCAATCAAAGGTGCCATACTTTTTTTTTTTTTTTTTTTTTTAGGTTGTTTTCGATCAGCTAAGATAGCTCTATATTGCCCTGCGGTTTTGCCTGCTTTGATGGATGTGATATTATTTATTTATTTTTTAATACTGCAAACAAAGTTTGATCGTTAGTATGAAACACTGAAAACACTGGAATTGTAACTTAACCAATTCACATTTTTATATAAACAAAGTTTATGCTGTAACTTTTTGTTGCATTTCTAATAATCCTAGATTGTAAACTGTAACAAGCAGGGCCCTCTTTTTCCTCTTGCACCAAATTGTATTGTACTGTAACTGTAATGTCTACCTTCATTTTGTAAAGCGCTGCGCAAACTGTTGGCGCTAAATCAACCCTGTATAATAATAATGTTTTACTGCATACTGTTAATGCATTTCCTGACTTTATACTGGCTTGTGTTATAGGAGCAAAGTCCCAGTAACCAAACCTCCATTGCCATGATGCAGGAACCTCCAGAGATGTTGGAAGAGACGGTAACGGTTGAAGAGGATCCTGGGACTCCAACTTCCCATGTGTCAATAGTGACCTCCGAGGATGGAACTACAAGGAGGACAGAAACCAAGGTACCAAATTCATACTCCATTTAGGAGACTATTTACCTTATGGCAGAGTTCAATCATTCCATTGCTTTAGTATCATCCAGCAGGTCAGTATTTGGATTCTTGTACAGATATTCAGTATTTCATGAAGTGGTAAGTTTCCACTTCCAATTTGGTAGTATCCTAATTAGTGCTACAATATAATGCTTTATTGATTGAAAATGACTCTCTTGAATCTTCATCTAGAGTGGACAAATCTGTGTTTTAGGGCTCCCATCTTGATATATTTACTGTCATAGGGTCAGAGATACAGAGGGTTCCAAAGCCACTGGTTTTCCCCAATAGTTTTGACCCCAGTGACAATATGCATTTAAGAATGAAACCAATTTTTACATTCTTGACCTATTAAACCCCCCCCCCCCCCATTACATATGCCTAAAGTGTATATAATCCCTAATGATGAACTTCTCTAATTTGCTCTTTTTTGGTCTGCTAAATAGTGTTTAAAGTATTTTGTTATAATTGATTGATGAGTAGGAAGAAAGTATTCTAGTGAATGTTTAACGTCCTGTATTGTCTGTGCTACACTTAGCATTGTTCCCAGTTCTCTTGATGTACTACTGAACTCCCCTCTATATTCGGAAGAGGGGGAGGTGTTCTGTAATTCTAACACACATTTTCTCTTCTAGGTGACACAGTATAGTGAGTAAGCGTTGTCACTTTAAGACAGAAACTGTGTTACTATAAGGATGATCATCTTAAAAGAAAGGGGAAAATGCAGTCAATACTGAGAGCCAGAATTGAGAGAGCACCCCCATGTTTGATGGCTTTGACTGTTAACTCCCTGTTCTCACAGTGTCCCAGATTTGGGCAACAAATGGAAGGCTTCAACTGACTTTACCCTGACTCAAATCTAGAGTCCACCTCAGGCAAAGTAAAGTAAAATAAGGAGGCAAATTTAAACCTTAAATAAAAAACTGCTCTGTTATAATAATTTGAAACTGACTATTCTGATTCTTTCAAACACCAAGTTGTTCTCCCTAGGTTTTGGAAAGGTCAGGATACCATGCTGCCCTGTGTTATTTGCCTGGGGAACACAGAGGGAAAGCTCTGAATGGAAATAGGGGGAACATCATGGAGTCAGAGTTGTATTTTTGCAGAATTATTTGACTCTGACATTGTGAACATGCTTACAGGAGAAGAGAGCTCAGTTAGTCCTCATCAGTAGTAAATGCTTACCAGTGCTTTTGCTTATATTCGTGAATTTACTAAACTTGTAACCACTTCCACTGAAGTGATAGTGGTCCGTATTCATTCTCTTAAAGGCTAAGTTCACTCTTTCTAAAAAAAAATAGCCTATGCAGTCAAGTTCCCCCCCCAGCTCATAATATAATGGAATTCCAGCTTACACCTAACTAACCTTAAAACTGTCCCCTTCCCCCTCCTAACACCTATGCTAACTAACCTGTGTAAGAAAGATGTATACATTTGTTTTCAGGCTGCTCCAGTCTGGTCGCATGATCCCCCAGCGACAGCTGCAGGGAGAGTTGAGAACACCCCAACAATGGCTAGTATAGCCTGGAGCAGTGGTGTCACCCATAGGCTTCAATGGCCCATCCATTGTTCTCTCCCCTGAAGCTGTGCTGGCTGGAGCAGGAGAGTTAGGATCACATGACCTCATCTTTCTTACACAAGTTGGTATGAGTCTTAGAAGAGGGAGGTAGCATTTTTAAGATTAGTCAGGATCAGCCTGGAATTCCACTTTAAACTCTTTAGCTTTGTAAAATGTTAATTTAATGTTATTGTCATACCGGTAGGCCACTTGAGCCCCCGAGGAAGCCTGGTCGAAAAACTCCCACTCGCCCGTTGGATGCTTACTCCCAAAATCACTTCCTAGCAACAAGATGGGACGTGGGGATTACTAAGTGGGAATTAAAGGGTCAGGTTTCCAGGGGGCCCAAATGGGGAACAGGTACAGTATGTAAAAAAAAAATGACAATGTTTTACAAAGCTGCAGTTTTTTTTTTTTTTTTTTTTTAAATACCTGCTTCTTGACTGCATAGGCTGATTTCTGGAAAAGATAATTGCTTTCAAGTCTTAAGTGTTGTACTGGAGGCTCCTTGATGTTGGAGTTTGAACTTGCTCATTGTAGAGGGAGGTAAAGTGTATCTTTTCATCTGTGTAATAACATGGGTCTGCACAAGGCTTTTCTTTTTTTAAGTTAAATTTGGTTTTGTTATCCAACATATAATAAAGAAGTCAATCAGTCCCACGTTCGCTCCAAGAACAAGACCCGAACAACCCCCATGACCACTGATCAGTCCGCTCGGAGCAGAAAACAGTGACGGTCAGTCACTGCTCTCTATGTTGCCCCATTAGCTCTTACTGGAGCAAGGGGCAGGGGAGGGGGTGGGAACAGTTGGCTTTGGCTCTCTGACATGCGGAGAGGCAGAGCCAACTGCTGATCAGGCACATGGGTGGATCCCAACAATATTGTCAGGATCCTTCCAGAGCCTGGAGCAACTTTGCCATGTCAGTTGATAGTGGGCAATAGCCCACTCCTAACTGACTTTGGGTCACGTGAATGCAAAAGTAAGTGCATTCCTGTAACCCAGAAGAGAAGTATGGCCAAAAAAGATTTTGCCATTCTTCTCTTTTTAAGCAAGAAGAAAGCCATGCTTGAAAGAAAGCCATAAGAAGTCCTGTTTGCAGTTTGTGAGATGCCGTGTGGGGGACACAGCAAACATGTGGAAGAAGGTGCTTTGGTCATTAACATTTTTTGGCCTAAAAGCATAATGCTATGTGTGGCGGAAAACTAGCCCTGCACATCATCCCGAACACACCATCCCCACTGTAAAACATGGTGGTGGCAGCATCATGTTCTGGGGATGCTTTTCTTCAGCACACACAGGGAAGCTGGTCAGAGATGAAGGAGCAAAATACAGGGCAATCTTAAAAGAAAACCTGTTGGTGCCCGTTCACATATATGCGGATTTCATGCGGTTTGAACTGCATTCAATCCTTATGACGTGAAAAAACATTGCTTCCTATGGTGCCTGTTCACCTATGTCCGGTGCAGATTTAGTGTAGTTTTAAAAAGTCATGTCTGATTTCTGTGCGGTACAGTTCAGGTGCGGATTACAGGCTATTGACTTCTATGGGAATTGTTTCTAAACCGCATATGTGTGAAAAAGAGAAGATCCTGAGCTAGTCCTGTCCTGAACCTGACTTGAACCTGTGAACAACTACTGTATTAATTAGCTGTGAAACCTGAGCTTCAATCTGCACCGCACATGTGTGAATCTGCTCGTAGAGTCTGCAGAAGACTTGAGACTGGGTGGAGGTTTACCTTCCAGCAGGACAACGACCCTAAACATACAACCAGACCTACAATGGAGTGGTTTGGATCGCAGCATATTCATGTGTTTAGAATAGCTCCGTCAAAGTCTAGACCTAAATCCAATTGAGAATCTGTGGCAAGACTTGAAAATTGCGGTTCAGATGCTTTCCATCCAATCAGACAGAGCTTGAGCTATTTTGCAGAGAAGAATGAGCAAAAATGTCTCTAGATGTGCAAAGCTGGCAGAGACATCCCCAAAAAGACTTAATAAGCTATAATTAGCAGCGAAAGGTGGTTCTACAAAGTATTGGCTCGGGGGCTGAATACAAAGGCACACTTTTCAGATATTTATTTGTACAAAATTTTGAAAAGCATTTATCATTTTCCTTCCACTTCACAATTATGTGCCACTTTGTGTTGGTCTATCACATAAAATCCTAATAAAATACATTTACATTTTTGGTTGTAACATGACAAAATGTGAATTTCAAGGGGTATGAATACTTTTTCAAGTCACTGTATAGCAAAACTGCAGCGGGGTTACCCATAACAAGCAACCAAATGAAACTCTTTTTTACAATTCTATGAAAATTAATTTGTTAACCAATATCAGTAGTTTTGTGCCGTAATACTTGAACAAGTCATTACATTTCTATATTGCAGGCCATCCTTTTTCAATCTTTAAATCATTTTGGCTATGCATCCAGTGTCTCCTGAGGAGAAGATAATTATTTAGTGGAGTGATTGGGCTCTATAAATCTGTTTGAGTCTTCTGTGTTGGAAATAAAGCTTCTGTAAGCAGCCTCTTACAGCTTTGTCTTTAACTCCGTAATTTTAAATCTGCAGATGGAGCAAGAAAGAGCACCTTATGTATTCCAGACACAAAGAGGAGTTTAGCCTACCCTTATATTCTCATGCGGTATCTCGCTGGGAATCAAACACTTTGTGCTAAAATAGTGAAGGTCACCTTCCAGGTATTTCCAGTGGCATAATGCATAGATGTGTAAATGTCTCGCAAAACAGAACAATTCTACTGAAAAGTCCTTCGAAATATATATATTTTTTAATTTTTGTGAAATTTCTGCTTTTTATGTAGCATGTTGACTATTATAGGATTTCCATGTTGGCGAAATTGAGCAACAATCTCCATGCCTTTCTTTTAATTACATTGTCAGAGTATATCTGTGTATACTGATTAGGTATCAGATATATTTCAGTAGAAAACAAAACTCTAACTTACAGCATTGAGGAATGCCAACACTGTAATGCTGTACTTGAGATTGTAATGTGCTTTAACCTCCCTGGGGGTATTCCCGAGTGTAGCTCGGGGTAAAGTTTCAGCACCGCAAGCGGTAACCCCGAATACTCTGCAGCATTGCTTTGTGATCCCTCTAGCACTTACCTTGTCCTTTGCTCCCGCGATGTCCCCCCTGCAGTGTCCCTGGCCATCTCCTCCGGCCAATGCCGGCATCTGTCTTCCAGGTTCCGATCCCTGGGACGTACGGGGGACGTAATCGGCGGGAAATTTAAAAATTATAAAAAGTGACGTTCACTAATACACTAAAATGACATAGTAAAACATTACTGAATCAAACCATTTCACATACATTTTGTCCCTAGTGCTTTGTCCTGTGCCCTGCCTGCATTTTTACTGTTCTTTCTGCCTGGAAACTGAGAAACGTCCATGCATGGTGTCCAAAAAGCGCCCATTTTAGGTCAAAAGCGGTTTTAGACCAGCTAGAGAATAGCGATAGTAAATCAGAACCACTTGCAGAATTGAGTGATGATTCATGGGGAAATTCGTCATCAGACACTGAAAACGATTTTGCGACTAAGATCAGTGATGTGCGAACTTGGCGCTATATTTCAAATTTCAGTGTTTTTGGTTTGATTACTTTATTGAATTAAATTTATTATATTTTTATGATTATTAAATTCTAATTTTAATATCGTGTTTCAAATTTTAACATACCGGGATGTTTACTAGACTCTTGTTCGGACAGATTTCAGTGAGTTATTCCTAAGAATTACAGGCCTATAATTAAAAAAAACGACATTTCCATGCAAAAAAATGTACCGCTTTGAGCACAGAAATACTGACATAATCAGACCGCTAGTAAGGCTACCACAGAACTGCAACATGGCTGGTTATTAAAAAATAAAAGTAACTTCTGCTAAAAATTCTTTCCTTCATAATCCATCGTTCTGTAACCTTTACACATTGCTCTGGTATAACCCCCCCCCCCCCCCCCCCCCTTTTCACACCCTAGTTTCGTGATGGATCTAGCAATCTGTCTTTTCCCGTTTTTTTTTTTTTTAATTTTTTTTTTACCCGCTCTTCACTTGCATGTAATGGAAACATGCACACATTCCACATGTGCACATTACTTGAAGATTTCTACTTTTGCACAGGAGCGCCACTCTCACAAGTTCGTCTTCTGTGCTAATGAATAGGTGTCTACGTCACTTCGACACTGCAACCTCTCCTTCCTGCATTTTACTGATGCCAAAAATGTAATCTTTTCTCAGCATGCACAGTGCAGAGCTCCCTACTGCAACAGTTATTTAACAGAAAATGCTGCAGGTTTTAGAGAGAAACAATATAAAATCAGTAAGTACTTTACTCAGAATACAGATCTCCTTCAAATGCTCTCTCCATTTAAAGTTCCAGTTTAATTGTCCAGCATGTACCAAACTGATATATTTGATTTCGGTAGACTGATCTTTTTAATTCTTGTTGTCTTGACTGCCATTTTGTATCATCTTGGTGCCTGTATATTTAGGGTCTGTTTAGTAATTTTCCAGGCATATTACAATTTTTTGATGTGTTTTTTGTGGCACAAATCTTTTCAGATTCTCACATTATTAAAGCGGTTTACACAGCTGTATTGTGGAATGTTAATTCGGCTTTACTTCTGTGATTGGTTAATGGTATTAATTACTTATATATGTTCTGACACTGGCCTTTGTAATTTTATATAAGACAAATGTGAATGTATCTTAACAGGTTACAAAAATGGTAAAAACCGTCACCACGAGAACAGTTCGTCAAGTGCCACTTGGTCCAGATGGTGTACCTGTTATAGATGCCTCCTCTCCTATCAGTGGATATACAGATTCTATTGACAGACGATATATGAAAAATGGAGAGCGGTTTATTACCCCACAGGCATCGTCAACTTTGACAAGATCCTACAACAACAGCTACAATGACTCTTATGGAGATCATCATGAGGCCCCTTACAGACCTTTTATGACACCTGAAGGCTATGGAGATATAGCAGACAACTATGGAAGCTTGTCCCGTGGAATTAATTATCGCCCTCGATATGCCTACACTCCAGGCAATAATTATCGTCCTGAAGATGGCAGCTATACCCTCCCATCTCGTAGGGAAAACTATGTTCCTATTGCGCAACCACAAGTGCCAATTGGCAGTAGTGTGGACCTGAACCGGTCCCAACCTGAGCGTTTCCAGCCAGAACCATATGGTTTAGAAGATGATAATCGTAGCCTTGGAGCAGATGATGAAGGGTATGAATTGGATCCAGATTACTCCACTATGAACAGAAGAGTCCTTCCTGGAATGCCCATGACTGGGAGACCACACAAGCCAAGGTAGGTCAGACTGAATAAATTTTTTTTTTTTTAAATATGTTGGCTTTCATTTTATTGAATATTTAAAGCATAGACTGCTATAGAAACAAAACCTAATAAGAGAGCATGATTCTGCTGTCAAGTGGGGTTAGGTTGTTTACCAGTAAATGAGTATACAGAAAGAACCTATTATATTTGAGATTCACAAGAGATATACAAAGATGAAAGTTGACATAACTCTTCTGTAAATGCTAGTTTACCATCTTTTATGTTGAATCCCAGTTCCCTTCATTAGAAACACCACCTAGAGTTAAAATTAGGGGAAGCACTGCTCCCCGGTATGTTCAGCTGCAGAATGAAAGTAGCTTCCAAGTCTCCTGTTGGTACTGGACCGTTCTGTATTCTGTACATGTATTGAACCTATCATTCCAGATGAGCTCTGATTGGTTAATCCAATATCCTCCTCTCATGGGGATAAATGGAAAAGCCCAGTGCTTATGAGCATTGAGTGTGTACTTTGATTACACACTACACATACCTATGGTGAAGAGCATTTAGGCAATGTTAAAAGAAAAAAAAAAAAAATTTTGTTTTCAGATACACTGTTTTTTGTTGGTTTTTGCTTTTTTATATTAGATGTGTAGGGAAAGATTTACCACTCCTCTGCAAAGTTTTGGTTAGATTAAGGAGGGTTTGGAACACTTTTACCACATTTTATTACTGCCATTAGCCCTGGTTCACACTGATGTGGTGCGGAATTCACAGCGCTTTCTGTGCGAATTCCACACCAGATCAGAATCGCACCCCATTCATACGAACCGCTGCGGGTGTCTAGGTTAAGTTAATAACACCCTGAAAGCAGTCCACAAAAATGCGGTGCGATGTGTAGAATCAGATCGCATAGGTGTGAATACCCGTGCGATCTGATTCTAGTGTGGACTAAAAAAAAGGGTCCAGCACATTTTTGGTGCTCGACGCGGTGCGAATAGAGCCATACAAAATGTATGGCTCCAATCACACCGCACACAAATCACATGTGATTTGCACAGAGATGCGATGCGGTTTCTGTGCAAATCATATGTGATATACAGTACCGCATATACGTGAACCCAGGCTTATGGAAATTCACCTATTCTTTTTGTCCGGTTTATTGTTATTATTGAAAGTAAAACATGTTGGGTTGACACCAAAACACTAATAGAAGGGAAATCTTCCAATAAGGACAGTAGTTCTGATGACACTGGGATTCCCTTACTTTGGAGGGTTCCTTCCTGTTTTGGCTATGGGACAGGAAGTTAAGAGAAATCTCCCAATGGGACACAGATGGCGAAAAAAATTTTTTTGCCTTTTAGTTACACTTTAACTTTTTTCTGTCTGGTAAAAAGGCTGTATCCAGAACGAGAAACGTTTGTCAGCGGTCTTTCTCTCACTGTCTGGTTGCCCCAGGACAGAAAGAGAAGGGAAATCTTTCTTAATGTGTTCATAGATGGATCGAAATTTTGGCTTTCAGCAGGGACCAGCCAAATTTCAATTCATATGTGGCCACTGCAGTTGAACAGAAGTTGATCTACCATTTAACCTCTGTTCAACTGTCCTGTTGGATGAAAGCTGCTCAGTCAGCGGCTGCAGCCAATGTCTACAGTGCTGATCTGTGTATTCTGATAGTGGGGGTGTTTCCCCGCTGTCAGAATTCAATAGTGCAGCTGGGGGGATTCTCCCATCCATCTTGAATGTGTGGATGGTGGAATCAGTTCAGTTTTTTTCATTCAGCCTGCTGGCTGAACAAAAAAAAAAACAGTATAATGTATGGCCAGCATAACCGAGCCCTAGATGGCAGTGAAATTGGAAAAGGACTTTATACTTTTTCCCTTGCAAAAAAAAAAAATTCAAAATAAAAAAATTATTTTAAAGATTAACTTTCACATAAGAAAAGCCAACCAGTATGCGAAGCTGCTATTTTTATGAAAAGCTTCTCTTATGAGGGGAAAAGGAAAAAAGCATTTGGGTTTTTGATTGTTTTGAGACTTGTGTATTAACTTTACAAGCACTTAAGGCCCCTTTCACATTGGTACACTTTTGATATCACTTTTCCAGGGCGACAAAAGCGCATGAGCACTGTTCCCAATTAAATCCTATGTAACTGTTCACACTGTAGATGCTCTGCACTTTAAAATGTCCTGAATCCTGCATCTTTGGTGCAGTTTTTTACAAAGGTGCACTAAAAAAGCACCTTCCATTGCAAGTCAATGGGAACACCTCAAAAGCACATCTGTGTGACAGGCACCAAGTGCATAATGCTGACTTTCATATTGGAGTATTCTCCATACTACATCCCCCACCCCCTCCTTTTAGCATGTCTCTGCGTTGTCTGATAACTAGGCAAGTAGCGCAAATGGCATAAAAAATCAGAATCAATGTCAGAAAGTTGGATTTTGCTAGAGCATCTTTTAGCATACAGGAATAGTTATAACATCTGTTTTGGTTTCTATAGTATAGCAGGGATAGGTCAGTGTCCATCCCTTTATCTTGGAAGAGAAATGCTCAGCTTCAATCTATGGGTCTTAATTCCAGATGTGGGGACGGATTTAAAAAATGAATTATCCATAACATAGTATACTGATTGAGTCAAACCTAATTACTAATTATGAAATAATTTTTTTTTGCCAGTTTTAACCTACTACTAGATAAATCCATAGAGTAGTCTAGACTGGGTTTTTCCAGAGTAGATCCTACCACAGCTTAATATTTGCTGAGTTACCAAGCAGATAGATCTTCCTATTGCAAGGAAAAGAACAATTATGGCATTGGGTAGGTTAAATCCATGGTCTCTAAACTGTGGCCCAGAATCGGCCCTCTGCCTGCTTTATCTGGCCCTTGGGGCTCTATTCCTCCCACTGCTCCAAGGCCGTATTACTCCCACTGACACAAATGATGAGTTGCCTTTCCTGCCACTGACTGCAGCAGTGGGGCATAAATCTACCAACTGACACCAACAATAGGCACTATTCCTCCCACTGACACCAATGATGGGGCACTATTCCACAGACATCAGTGATGGGGCATGATTCCTCCCACTGACACCAGTGATGGGGTATGATTTCTCCCATTGACACCAATGATGGGGCACTATTCCTCCCACTGACACTAATGATGGGCACCAGGGGCGGACTGAAAACTCATGGGGCCCCCGGGCAATAGGGGATCATGGGGCCCCTGTGTCCTTGGCCAAACTCAAAAAAGCCTATGAAAAAGGTACCAGGGGCATCTCATGGGTCCCCCTACTGACCCCGGGCCCTCAGGCAGTGCACGAGTTTCCAAATGGGCAGTCCGCCCCTGATGGGCACTATTTCTCCCACTGACACCAATGATGGGGCACTATTCCTCCCACTGACACCAATGATGGGGCACTATTCCTCCCACTGAATACCAATGATGGGGCAATATTCCTCCCACTGACACCAAATGATGGGGCACTCCTACTGACCATTGGCACTGTCATTTTTTTGTACTCTCCCTGACTACCAAGCCTGAGACATTGTTAGTCCCTCTGGCCACAGTCTGGCTCTACTAAAGTCTAATGGACAATAAACTGGCCCTTTGATTAGAAAGTTTGGAGACCCCTGGTTTAAAATAAAAGTTAATGCAAATAAATATCCACAAGCTTGATTCTTGCCTTGGTTGCACAATACTATGGAACAACATGATTCTAAAGTGTATAAAGAACTTCTTTGCGAATAGGGGTAAGTTGGCAACCCTGATCGCTGCCAGCCCTCAATTTTCCTAAGGTAGGGAACTAACAATTGTACATTCACCATGTAGTCTTTAGAAAAAAGTCACAATAGAGATTTTAAGTGAATGAATGATGCATAACATTTTCTGAGATACTTGCAAATGTTAGTTTTTGGATGGTGCTGTGTTTTGACCAATCCTTCTTTGAAGTATTATGAACGGTCATCTATTGTCTTCAGTATTACATTAGACATCCTTCCATTTTTGAGGATATACAGTATTTTTCATAAGAACCATACAAAAACAGGTTCTATGTGCTAAAATCGCAGATCATACACTGAAGGGAAAATCTTTAAAAAAAAATTAAAATATTCTAAGCTATTTGGAGACTGAAAAAAATGTACAGAAAATGAGTAAAGTGTAGACATAAAAGTTTAAGTATAATCAATTTAGAATGATTAAGTCTTGTGGTGGGTGTTTTTTTTTTTTTTTTTTTCTTGTAATACAGATCAGATGTTTTTCATGCCTGGAGGACAAATACCTCCTACTTTAAAGGGTTGAGCTTCTGGCTAAAGCACTGGTACTGTCAGTTTGAGTTTTTCTGATAAGTTGGTCCCAGCTTTACAACCTCCCTTTATATTCAGCTGATAACAGCAGCTTCTTTTCTTCGTGCTCAGTGATGTGAGAGAGAGGCTTTGCCACGCTTCAACTCCGTCACTCCCAGACAGGAGCGGTTGACCAAAACATGGCTGTGTTATGTTGGATATGTGGCCTAGAGATTTAGGCATGATGGACATGTAGCTGATGTGAGACATGCCTGTTACACATTTGTTTCTCTGAAAGATAAATGGAGTTAACTTTTACATGTTTATAAATACACGTTTTAGAAATGACAAAGTACGCTGCATAAAATGCAAATAAATCATTCCTTCCTTCCTAGTACTTAAAATCATATACAGTATACTCATACACCTGCTGTATATCATCAATTGCAATAAAACATAAAAAAAATATATATACACATACACTATATTTCCAAAAGTATTGTGACACCCCTCCAGATCATTGGATTCAGGTGTCCGTGGCCACAGGTGTATAAAATCAAGCACCTAGGCATGCAGACTGCTTCTTCAAACATTTGTGAAAGAATGGGTCGCTCTCAGCTCAGTGAATTCAAGCGTGGAACCGTGATAGATTATAATAAGTCCATCCATGAAATTTCCTTGCTACTAAATATTCCACAGTCAACTGTTAGTGGTATTATAATAAAGTGGAAGCAACTGGGAACAGCAACTTAGCCACAAAGTGGTAGGCCACATAAAATGCCAGAGCGGGGTCAGTACATGCTGAAGTGCACAGTGTGCAGAAGTCGCCAACTGTCTGCAGAGTCAATAGCTAAAATACTCCAAACTTCATGTGGCCTTCAGATCAGAACAACAACAGTTTGTAGAGAGCTTCATGGAATGGGTTTTCATGGCCGAGTAGCTACATCCAAGCCTTACATCACCAAGTGCAATGCAAAGCGTCAGATGCAGTGGTGTAAAGCACGCCACCACTGGACTCTAGAGTAGTAGAGACGTGTTCTCTGGAGTGAAGAATCACACTTCCCCGTCTGGCAATCCGATGGACGTGACTGGGTTTGACGGTTGCCAAAAGAACGGTACTTGCCTGACTGCATTGTGCCAAGTGTAAAGTTTGGTGGAGGGGGGATTATTGTGTGGGGTTGTTTTTCAGGGGAAGGGCTTGGCCCCTTAGTTCCAGTGAAGGGAACTCTTAAGGTGTCAGCATACCAAGACATTTTGCACAATTTCATGCTCCCAACTTTGTGGGAAGAGTTTGAGGATGGTCCCTTCCTATTCCAACATGACTGCACACCAGTGTACAAAGCAAGGTCCAAAAAGATGTGGATGAGTGATTTTGGGGCGGAGGAACTTGACTGGTCTGCACAGAGTCCTGGCCTCAACTCAATTGGGATGAATTATAGAGAGGAGACTGAGATCCAGGCCTTCTCGTCCGACATCAGTGCCTGACCTCACAAATGCACTTCTGGAGGAATGGTCTCACATTCCCATAGACACACTCCTAAACCTTGTGGACAGCTTTCCCAGAAGAGTGGAAGCGGTTTTAGCTCCAAAGGGTGGGCCAACTAAATATTGAACCCTACGGACTAAGACTGGGATGCCATTACAGTTTATGTGCGTTTTTAAAGGCAGGCATCCTAATACTTTTGGAAATATAGAAAGTGTGTATGTATATATATGTGTGTGTGTGTGTGTGTGTGTGTGTGTGTGTATATATATATTTGCATTTAACGTGCAGTATTTTTTAAAAATATACATTTTGTTGAGTGTGGGTTTTTTTTTTTTTTTTTTCACTTCAGATGCCAGCTGCTTAGGGTTGGGTAATGGCTGTGACATGATAGACCCTATAAGTCATCTACCTTGTGAGTTGTCATATAGCAGTGTGTGATGTCAAGGCTTTTCTGACACCTTATGATAAATGGGGCTCATATGATTAGTTTGAAGTACAACATCGATGTATAGTTTTCTCTAATATGATCAGTAGATTTCAGCCAAATATAGTCTGTCTCTAGAAATGAGATTAAAACACAAACTTTCTATATAGATTTCTCAAAAGCCACACGGGATATAAATCCACTTTGTGTGTACCAAATGTCTTTTCAAACCCAGTTGTTACTTTGCTAACATTTGCAGTTACATTGTTGCTGTGCTGCACATATTCTGTGCAGAGAGCACAATGACAAGGATCTAGCAGGTCAAATCACTTCAGGCTGTCTGCAGAAAACTACAGGAGGGTGTGGATACAAGACTAGTCCCCCTGCACAAGGAGAGATAGCAGCAGTTACTGGTCCTGATAACAAAAAGCTCTTGCACAGAGGTGATGTTTTTAGATTGGATTTCAGCACAGATCTGGAAAATTAACACACACCAATATTCAAGTAAGATTACAAATGCCTCTTGTATCTAAACAATTTTTGCTTATCTTCGGTTTATAGGGGAGCCCTTAAATGTTTTATTTTCTTTCCCTCTTACCTTGACAGCTGGGTAGTCTTCAGAAAACATTCTCGCATGCCCAGTGAATCCAGCATTGTCTGCTGTTACCTGCCACTCACTACCATACAACAGGACCCACACTGCCATCTTCTCCCTGTGTCATTGGAGGGACTGGTTTGTCACTTCTAGGCTCTTGTAGCCAGTCCTCTTATAATGCGCCACTGCATACGCGCAGTGTGTTGGAGATTGCCTGGCCATTTACAGTGTGTTAGAGATTGCCCTGAAGCCTCCTGTGATGGGGGACATGAGTAATGTCCTCAGCTGTACAAAGAAAGTCCAGTTAAATGTGACACTAGTTACTAGCTATACCATGATAAATGGGGCATAGGCTTCTTAGGAGCACAAGTGATACTTCAAATATATCGTAGTTGATTTTGGTTTGAAGTCTAATAGACACGGAATTAAAGGTACACACAGGTGTATTCTGACCTTTTTCATTAACTTTTTTGTAAAGCAGTTTAGAATACCCTTAAACTATAGTTCTCTACAGATTTAAAGAGTGGCTAAACTCTAGAGCTGTGCCTTTTTTCCCTTTTACTGACTATGGTAGGCCATAGATAATACAATTTTCTTTCCTGCAACCACAGGAATCAATCAACCTGCCCATGCGTGCATCGAATCTCGGCTGGTCCCTGCTGAACTATGTATGGCAAGCTTTACAATGCCTTGTTCTGCACCACTCTGTGTATAAGTGGCCATCTTGATAGAGGCAGGGCTTTGCTTCCTAATGTGAGAACCTTTAGCAAGGAGCACAATGAGCAGCTTAGTGTTGACCTCACTGAATGTCACTCCATATCTCCTGAGACTAGCAGTCAGCGGCAGTGCCTTAGATCTCGCAGTGCAGACACAGCTGTGAGGGTGTAGAAACAGGAGTGCCTTGGCACCCTCACATACCAGGAGGCTCAGTGCTACTTTAACTGCCATGCTGGTTGAAAAGCATAGATAGCGTAGATCATCTAAGAAAGTATGTCATGGAACCTTTTTTTTGTTACTTTTCTTCAGGTTTTCCTTGAAGCCAGGCAGCTGTATGCATACCATGTCTATGCTGTGTTGCCTGACATTCTTTTGACCCAGACAGCGCAAACGATGCCTCTGTGTACATTGCTTTAGTCTTTGAACAGTCTTAGGTTTCCAGTTATTAGATTGTCTGCTGTATTTTCTTGTTTCCCAAGTGTGCAAATGGCAGGGGAAGCAACCACTTATCTCTGTCTGACATATTCAGTATAGGAGTGCTTAGATCAGTGTTGGCATACAAGATGCCCTAACCCATAGTCAGACCAGAAAAATTCCTCTTGATTGCTTTGACGTGCTTTTCATTTTGTCTTGCTGAATAAGTACACCCTCTTTGTATCAAGGTAAGTCAAAGACCCCTTTCCATAGGAGTCTAACTATGCATTTTGCTACATATACAATGCAAGAGAAAGTGGGTAATAATGAAGTAATGTACTACAGCATACGTTCTTGCTAAATGTCTAATTTGATGCTGTTCATTAAGTGCACTTAAAGTAATATTTAGCGAATGTTATGTTAAACAGTCCATGTTTACATAATGTATTTAACATAATGGAAGGCATTATAAGAATCGCTTTTCTTTCCCACATTTTTCTCAGCATCTCTAGCTGCTCTATGGGTTTAAACAGATAAATGTTTCCTTGTTGATAGTAACTGGTAAGAGTTCCTTTTCTTAACAAAAACTGCATAGAAGTGTATAAATACATATATGTGTTCTCTGCACATAGAGCCTATGATGATCCTCTGGAGTCAGAACTGATTGAAGAGAGAATCCCTTATCTCCACAGTGGCTATGCCGCACCACTGGCTCAACCAGAGAGGGGAAGTCTGGCCAGCATAGACCGCCTAGGAAAGCGTTCACCTTCCATCGACAGCATTCGCAAAGATCCCCGATGGAGAGATCCTGACTTGCCTGAAGTCATTGCCATGCTCAATCATCCCATTGACCCTGTCAAGTCCAATGCAGCTGCCTATCTACAGCACTTGTGTTATGAGAATGATAAAATAAAGAAGGAAGTGAGACAACTCAAAGGCATTCCTATCCTTGTGGGATTATTAGACCACCCTAAGCCTGAAGTACATCGTAAAGCCTGTGGAGCCCTCCGTAACATCTCTTTTGGAAAAGATAATGAGAACAAAGTTGCCATAAAGAATTGTGATGGTATTCCTGCATTGATTCGGCTTCTGAGGAAGACAAATGACATGGAAGTCAGGGAGCTCATAACAGGTGAGGTTCTGTAATGGTGACATGTATATTTTAGTGTGTGTGTGTGAATTAAACGTCTGTTCTCGTTTAATTAAAAAAATATATATATAAAATATAAAAATATAATTTTATATATATATAAAATTACTTAAAATATTTTATCATTGAAGTAAGCCTGATGGGTCAACTCAACCCTTGGCTTTTTTTATGTCTAGCTCACTCTGACGACAAGATCTTTCTGCAGTATTTCCTGACCCCTGTCCACCTGGGAGCTGTGGCTGTTTGTTCCCATCTTTGTTTCCAGATTATCCTGCTGCATTCTCCATTTTATAAAATATATAATTGAACAGGGGAAAATCTGAATGTATTGTCTTTAGCAGGTTTGCAGGCTCAGGGACTCAAGTGCAAAAGATCAGTCACTGAAATACTGCCAAGCCCTAAAGTATCCATTTTGGGATGACCAATGCCTGGTACACACATTAAAGTACTGTAGAACTATAGGCAAAAGAAAATGTTTATTTTGGATAGAGCAAGAAAGGATTATAACCCCTGTCAGTTTTTTTGGTTTTTTTTTTTGCCTTCTGTGCCTGATTGTGAAGATTTACCTTCACGTCCTGTCCCATAGCAAAAAAGGAAGTGGGAGGAAAGCCCTGCAAAGTAAGGTAATTTCTTGGGGACCCCAGAGCCATCAAAAGTATTGGAAGATTTCCCCCTCTTACTTTTTTCTGGACAACCCAAAATTTGGGATTTTCTTTTTCTTTCACTTTCAATGACAAGGGTAAAGAAGACAAATGGGGTAAATCTCACTAACCGGGGCACAGACAGCAACAAGAACTGGCAGGCATTCTAATCCCTCTCCACACCATCCAAAACGAAAAAAAAATTTGCCTTTAGTTATACGTTAAGGTTTTTTTTTTTTTTTTTTTTTTTTTTTTTTTCCTTCAACCGAGCGGGCTAAAGGAAAAAAAAAAAGAGATTGTTGTACTAACTAAGCAATGTTAGTACAGCGATTTCTCCCACTGTGCCTTTTTGTGTTTTGAGAGAGCGCTGATCTGTTGGTTGTTTTCCGACATGTCCCTATGACAAAAGTTGGTCCTTAGACCAGCTTCTGTTAGGACAGCTGTACACACCGTCCGCATGCACCCAGCTTTTTAAATGTGTCAGGATTGGGGTAATGCCAGTAAATTTATTAATTTGCATTTCCAACCTGCAATAACTGTAAAGAAACCTAAAGGACGACTGTACCTTTTCCTGAAAGGCATGTCTCCCATGCTGAATGCAGCTTACTTGGCCCAATACATCTCTAAACCATTTCAATGATTTTCACTGTGCTGTCTTGCTCAAAGCTGCACAGCCTTTTTTCCCAAAAGGTGTCCCCTCTGGGTCCTTTAGATTACCGTATTTGCATTCAAAGTTAAAGCTGTCCTTTAAGGCTTCATGCACACTGAGCATTTGCTTTTCTAAACACCCTTCTCCTGGCAGGAGAAAATCGGCTTCAAAATCACGGTTAGGTGCATCAAGCGCATGGGCGTTTGTCATTGGCCAGAATATTCATGCTCCTGAACGTGCTGGCAGTGGGGGTGTTCTGGCTAGGTGGGGGGTGTGTTCTGGCCTCTAAGCACCTGTAGATGCCTATGTGTACATGAACACACAGGCTAACATTGGGGTGTCTGGAGACAGAAAAAAAAAATGCAACACACCTCTAGAAATAGCTTTGAAAACGCCCAGTGTGTATGAGGCCTTAAAGTGTATATCTAGCCAAACATTTAAAACATTTTTTTAAAAGATATTCTATCACTTTTTGTCCTGAAGACCATTTAACCCAGGACAGAAAATGACGCCAGTTTGTTTATACGGTAGAGAGGTATGCGCCTGTGTGGATGAGCCCTTTCACCAGCTAAAGTTGTCATTGTTTTGGATGGCATGGTAACTAATTTTAAAACCCAAATGATTCAGTCTAAATCTGCACAAACACAATCTGCTAAATCAAAAGGTATGCAAAGTCTTACAATTTGTTTGCGTTGGGAAGCAGCCACATCCTGAGTAGAAAAGCCTGTCCCCTGCCAGCAGGATGCCAGAAAAATCCCTTGCACTCTGTGTGACAGCAGTGTTCTCTCTGCATAGCTTAGGCAGCCCATAGATGCATCAGCCAAAGGGTTGAAGGAATAAAACTGACCCGAATCCTACAGCCACACATTCAAGGTTGATGAGAAAATCCTCCCCACAGTATCATTGTATTTTGATGGTGTGGAGACTTCCCTGCTGTCAGAATACACTGAATGCAGTGTTGATCAAGGGGGAAAAAATCCGACTGGATCAACTTCTGTACAACCACAGTGCATATACGTGGATTGAAATAGGCTGTGACTGCTCTTTTAAAGAAAACACAATGTAAGGGCTGACTTTAGCACAGAGGCTCTACACTCACAAAATTATCTATCTAGTGTAAATGGCTCAGCATAATGTGGTCCCTTAAGCAGCCCAAACAGAAATTTTTTTTTTTTTTTTTTTTTTTTTTTTTCTTTCGTTCAACCAGCAGGTTAATTCCTGCCCACAGAGCTATGGTCTTCTGATCGTGGGGAAAAATCCGACAGGGCAGTTGTACAGAAATCAATCAGTAGATCACCTTCTGTACAACCTTCCTGCCTATACATGGATTGAAATTCGTCCCTCCCTGCTGGACCGGACAAATTTTGGTGTATGGATGGCTTTAGTCAGGGTCTAAAAAGAATATTCAGTTTATCTTTTTATTAGATCTGGAATTTGGAAGATTTTTTGTTTTGTTTTGTATTTCTTAAGTTTACTGCTATAGGGAAACCAATTTTCTTTCTTTGTGGTCTTCCCTCTCATGCTTGAAATGTCTGAAGCCTGACTGGTTGTATCATTTGCTGGCAGGCTTCTACTAGGCTAAAGTGTTTGAATGGCAGTCTCCTAGCACATTCAGAAATCTGGCAAGAGTTTGACACCCCTGGCTTACTTTTTTAAGCTGATGTGAAAACGCCAGTCTATAATTTCTTAGGGAGGGCCCAGGAGTCTGAGTGAAGATGGCAAGGAGCCCTCCCAGGCACTTAAAAAAAAAAAAAAAATAAATAAACATGACTTTTCCTCTTAAGAGCTGCCATCCAGTGCAGTACTCCTCGGAATGCTGCTATTGTAGTGAAATCCCTGCCTAGCCTAATAGCTTGGCAGAAAGTTAACCTGAAGGCCAGAACACGTTTTGTGTCCTCATGAACACTTCTAACAATTAGCACTTACAACATTTTGTAATGTCTATACCCAAAACACTTTTTTTTTTTTTTTTTTTTTTTTTTTGGATCGAATGCTCTAGCTTTTGCCAGATAGGAAGTAATGAAGGTTCCCTTATTTAGCCTAACAAAAAAAAAAAAAAAAAAAGGTTTTTTTCTGTTATTAGCTGGAGGATGCAACTCTGCTTTAGATAATCCTTTACTGGGCATAACTTCCACCTGCTGGAGTAGGATGCAAAGTGTAACTGAAAAACAAGACCACCCAAGAGGTAGCAGGACCAAACCTCTTCTGACCCCCCCCCCCCCCTTTTCTCTCTCTCTCGCTGTATGTATGTGTGTGTGTATATGTATGTACACACACACACACACACACTGGAACAGCACCATTATTATTCTAGCTTTTAGGAGCTAGAACATAAAAATAGGCTCCTTTTTAGTTTACGTCAAGCAAGTCAGTGGCTGGGTGACAGGCCAGGTAATAGTAACTGGTATAGTCCTTGGTCTGTGCCCAGCAGACTGTGGGCTTTTGTACACACTTGAAAGCCCTGCCTGTAGTGGTTCCCTCTTACAGGCCAGCAGAACCATGTGCGTCAGCTAGTTGTGGTCTGCAGTCACCATGGCAGATGGCTGTTGCTCATAGCAAGTGTTGTGTCAAAGGTATGGTAGTGCTATCCCTAAAGGAGATGCTTAGTAACTTTGGGTTCTCTTTTCTGTTCCTTAACTTCAAAAACAACTTCAGTTCCTCTGACACACCTGGTTGACGAAAAATCACTTTAAGCACAGATAATTACACAAGCGTAAAATACCTTTAACCTGGCTGTGGGGTATTACCAGTAAATAGATACACACCCATTTAGTGGTAAATGTTCTTAATCAATTGATATGGATTGGAATAAATGGCAAATTGAACGTAAATGAACAAGCAGCTGATAGTAATTATTCTGTCTAGCAGACTGTTCTAATCTATGTTAAATTGACAAAAAATAAAATGTTATACTCCAGCTAGAATCAGGAGGGTGAATTAGTAAGTCATCAATAAACAAACAATATTCGTAAACGTGAAATGCAGTATACATAACAGTACACTAGGTTAGAGAGTGCATCATGACCTAGAGTGTGCAGTGATGGCGTTCTCTTTTCTGAACTGGGCAATGAGTTGCGCTTTAGTCCAAACTATGGACAGGTTTATAGCAAGGGTTGAGGACCCTTGTACAGACACTGCGGGTGCATTGGTAGCTCCGTGGTTGCTGTCCCCATCAGGTAAACATTTTCCGTGACTTCTATGCCAGATAATTGTCGAGAGAATTGCTAGTTAATCTGTCTCTGATGCTGTTAGAGAGTGTTCCACTCCTGTCCTGTGGACAAGCTTTTTAACATACAGGAATCTATCTCTCCAATGAAGTCTCCAACAGCAGTAAAACCGGACAGAATTTCTAATCTCTCTACTCTATCCAAAACTTTTTTTAAAAAAATGGCTAAAGATACAATTTTTAATCACTTTGTCCTTTCTAATTTATACACAGCACTCCTCACCAACCTCTATGTTCATCTGTATACTCTGTGCCTAGGTCAATGACCACACTACTTTTTCGATTTTATTGTACATTCTGTCACATCTGCGTAGTTCCAGAAGCAAAATGAAGCTGGACATGGAGTTGACAAGAAAAGTCATGAGACTGTCTTCAGATCTTGTTACTTTAGACCAGTTTCTTGGTAGACTGGGAAGGCGGATTATGTAAACCAGTTATTCACATAAATACGAGAATAAGCTGCCAGTCCAAAATTCTTTAGGCGTTCTGAATTTATAGTCCTATGGCTGAACATCAGCAGACACAGCCCTTTAAGTGTGACCTTCCCCATGTCACAAAGGAACTGGCAGTCATGTTACTTTTTTGGTTATATGTGAACACCATCTAACACCACAGCCTCCCTAGTTTGGACGTCTCCAGTGGGGAGGTGGTGAGGAAGCATGTGAATTTGGGTATGCCAAGTATACCTTCCTTGAATGTGCACAGTGGCAGGGTCTCTTGATTATTTATTTTTAGCTGATCATACCATTTGTAATGGCAAACAATTGCCGGTAAAAGTACAGATTGACAACACCTCCAGCAATTCCTTTTCAAATAATTTTTATTCCACCAGCTACAAATCATTTCTTTGAGCAACTATTTTTTCATGCCAGCCCAATATGACTTCAATCTCACAAATCTGGTAGAATAAGTATTATATAGAGTCTTGCTGGCGGTACTGTCTTATTCTGTATTTGTCAGTAAGACCTATATCACCAAATCTGGTCTAATGGTATAATTCTGTGCTGGGATGACATATCCTGTGTAGTGGCCACATTTGTTCTGTAATGATCATGTCCTGCTAGCCACCTATTTATTTATTAGAGAAATCCTGGTTTTCAGTCACTGCAAATGTGTGCTGTGCACAATGCATTTATTTTATTGCACATATGATTTCTGTACAACAGCTGTTGTAGAATTAGATTACAGTTCAGTGTTTCACAAATTGAAAGTAGACAGGAAGTTATACCACTAAAAATTGTTCACTGAGTGCTGGCCATCCCTAATCAATCAATTTTTGTGATCAATGGCAGATTAAGCAAATGTACTATTGATTTACTGGTATCATATGATATGCAGCAAATGTCTTCTTCTTAATCTCCTTTTTCACTTTCCTTCACTAGGATTATCAACTACTGCTAGAGATATCAGAGATGCAGACAATGTAGCAACCGAAGATAATTTTGTCCTGTAATCTTAAAGATTTTGTCCATTTTCTATAGGCTTCTCTTTTTTGAAATATCTAAAAAAAAAAACAAAAAAACAAACCAAAAACAAATGGCATGTTGCAATTTTTCAACTCTGTATATAGATTTGCTATAACAAAGTAAATCCAATGAACGTGGCATTTGTTCATTGTTCCTGAACGTATACGCCATTTGTCTCCATCAAGGTTTAGCACAGATCCGAACAATTGCATTGCAACAGGCCAATTAATTCTGTCCATCTGATGACCCAGTGTGTTGCTGGAATATCTTTAGGCCTGCCTCATTGCATTTAAGCATAGTTAATTGACTTGTACATCTGCCACTTAGAACTTTGTTTCTTTCTAAAGGTACTCTGTGGAATCTGTCCTCGTATGAACCCTTGAAGATGGTTATCATCAACCATGGCCTTCAAACATTAACTAATGAGGTGATCATTCCTCACTCTGGCTGGGAGAATGAACCCAATGAGGACTCCAAGCCCCGTGATGCGGAATGGACTACAGTCTTTAAGAACACATCCGGATGCCTAAGGTACTGTTCTTTTTATTTGTGCTACATGCTGTAATCACAGGCTGTTTAAATGATCATCTCCAACCCTAATGATGTTTAGTGTTCCAATTCGGTATAATTATTAATTATGAATTATTACTGTCTAGTAATGAGATGGCTAATACTATTCCTCTTTCTACTTTTGTCCTATGAAAGTTTTAAACAGAATTGCAGAGCCAGACACACAGTACCTTTTTATGGGTAAAGATTTCTTGACAATATGGAGGTTAGTTCAAGTCAAGTGTTGAATCCACTCTGTCAATCTCTGTCCTTCTGCGTTTTTGCCATGTTATGGTGATTTACCCTGCAGGACCAGGACCCTCTACCTTTTTAGTGCTTTCAGACCCACTGATAATATGCTGTGTGCTGGTCTGACTGTATTTCAGGAGCATTAACACTACATTAAGAAAGCAGTATTGGCTATAGCTTTTTTGGCCATACTTCTCTTCTAGGTCACAGGGGTGCCCTTACTTTTGCTCTGCTATGACTTAGATTCAGCTTTATAGTGGGCTGTGGCCCGCTATCCGCTGATGTGGCAAAGCCACATGGAATGATCATGACCACATTCTTGGGATTCGACCAGCTGCCCGATTAACAGCAGGCTCTGCTCTCCGCATGCCAGTAGCCAGCTGCTCCAGCAAGTGCTGGAGGAGCATAGCAGAGAGTGGCGACACAGTCAATGCTTACTACTTTGAGTGATTAGCGGTCATGAGGGGATGTGGGACAGCTGCAGCATCAGACCAATGCTTCAGCTTACAGGTGGATATAGATTTTTTTTTTTTTTTTTTTTTTTTTTTTTAAACAAACTTCCCCTTTTATTAGTACTGCCAGTATAGACCAGTAGGCTCCCATGAAAGGCTAGGTTGATTCACATAATGGCCTACAGATACATGTAAGCTTATACACACATTTTAAAGCTCACTTAATTATTAGTTTTAAAAATGAACATACTGTTTATGTAGTAGGCCCACTTTAAATGAGCTGTAACATTTTTACAGTCTTGTGTAGGTGATGCAACTAAATGAATAAGCATATTAACTTCTGTTACCTAATGTACTTTATTGATGAGGATATTTCCTGTAGGAGCGGTATTTGAAAATGTCATATGGGTATCTTAAAGCGGTGTTAAACCCAAAAGCAAAAATGTATTAGTTTGGTAGTCTAACAATTCTTGGATGTGTTGGCTGCATTTGTTTTCTTATTGAGGCTCATTGGAACTGCGGTGATCCCACCGGAGCTGGTGTGAATTCGCTCCATCAATGCTGTTGTCCATATATGTCTCTGTTGCTCCTTCTTTCAGAGTGTTGGCACTATAATACAGGAGGTTTGTTACTGACCAAAAATAATGCAGCCACCACATCGAATGATTGATGAGCTGCAATACATTACATTTTTAGTTTTCAGTTTAATACCACTTTAAATTTCCATCTATGATTGTAGTAACATCTAAATATTCTAAGGCTTTTGTGCAAATGATTGTATTTGATGGAGTGAGTGGAATGGATGATAAATAATCCTGTGAAGACTATATCAAGTTTTTATAAAAAAAATATTTGTGTAACATTGGAGTGAGGGCATGTAGATGGGAGTCTTTAGACTTAACAAAGTTTGTTTTTTCTATTTAAGCTGTTATTTTCTTTATATTGGTTTTTATGTAGGTATTGTCTACTAAAGCAATCTCGTGTTTTAAAATTCAATGCATTTCACGTAGATTCCCCCCTACCCAGCAGCACCTTTATTTTGCTCCCTTGGCTCTCATTCAAAAAGTGGGTGTGAGGAAAGGAAGCCAAATGTATGGTAATATTTGCCATAGCCAGCTTGCCATGTGACATACCTGGGCCAATCACCAACTTCTTTGCGGTCACAGTAGTGGACGGGGAACAATGTTTCTCCATATCTGAAAGTGCTGGGTAATTCTTCTTTGTGGTGGCAGAATGGAGTTGATAGAATGAAGAAAACATGAGATTGTACTGGTGAAAAAGAGCAAGGGGGCATTAAATGTGCTTCTTTGCCCTGTATGGACAAAGCACAAAAGTGGACCAGTCACGAACATGGGAGGTTGGCATAGATTACACCCACATACCTCCCAACTTTCTGCAATAAAGAGGGACCTCTTTTAGTACACTGTGTGTAGGCAAAGGACATGGCCTTGCCATAGCTCTGGTTGCTTTTTTTACCTCTCTTTTTTTCCTTTTATACTGGCTTTTTGAAATAAATTCAGTAATATAGAGGTTTGATAAAAAGTTTTTAGTGCCGCATAACACTTAATAAAATAGTACATTTTGTATAGAGATGTACAGTGAAGGAAATAAGTATTTGATCCCTTGCTGATTTTGAATGTTTGCCACTCACAAAGAAATGATCAGTCTAAAAATCGAATGGTAGTTGTTTTGTAACACTGAGAAACAGAATAGGAACAAAAATTCAAAAGAAATGCATGTCTAACAAATTATGCACTGATTTACATGTTCTTGAGGGAATAAGTATTTGATCCCCTATCATTCAGCAGGATTTCTGGCTACCAGGTGTCTTTCATGCAGATAATACGCTGATATTAGAAGAGCAGTCTCTTAAAGGGAATGCTGCTAATCTCATTTTGTTACCTGTATAAAAGGCACCTGTCCACAGGAGCAATCAAACAATCAGATTCCAAGCTCTCCACCATGGCAAAGACCAAAGAGCTGTCCAAGGATGTCAGGGACAAGATTGTAGACCTACATAAGGCTGGTCTGGGCTACCAAACTATTTCCAAGCAGCTTGGTGAGAAGGTAACAACAGTTGGTGCAATCATTCGCAAATGGAAGAAACACAAAACAACTGTCAGTCTCTCTAGGTCTGGTGCACCATGCAAGATCTCACCTCGTGGAGTGTCGGTGATCATGAGAACAGTGAGGAATCATCCCAGAACTACACGTGAGGATCTTGTCAAGGATCTCCAGGCAGCTGGGACCACAGTCAGCAAGGCAACTGGTAACACACTACGCCAACAAGGATTGCAATCCTGCAGTGCCCGCAAGGTCCCTCTGCTCAAGAAAGCACATGTCCAGGCCCATCTGAAGTTTGCCACTGAACATCTGAATGATACAGAGGAGGACTGGTTGAAAGTTTTGTGGTCAGATGAGACCAAAATTGAGCTCTTTGGCATCAACTCAACTCGCTGTGTTTGGAGGAGAAGGAATGCTGCCTATGGCCCCAAGAACACCATCCCAACTGTCAAACATGGTGGTGGAAACATTCTGCTTTTGGGGTGTTTTTCTGCTAAGGGGACAGTACAACTGCACCGCATCAAAGGGACGATGGACGAGGCAATGTACCATCAAATCTTGGGTGAGAACCTTCTTCCCTCAGCCAGGGCATTGAAAATGGGTTGTGGATGGGTGTTCCAGCATGACAATGACCCAAAACGCACGGCCAAGGCAACAAAGGAGTGACTGAAAAAGAAGCACATTAAGGTCCTGGAGTGGCCTATCCAGTCTCCAGACCTTAATCCGATTGAAAATCTGTGGAGGGAGCTGAAAGTTTGAGTTGCCAAACGTCAGCCACAAAACCTTAAAGACTTGGAGAGGATCGGCCAAGAGGAGTGGGCCAAAATCCCTCCTGAGATGTGTGCAAACCTGGTGGACAACTACAGGAAACGTCTGACCTCTGTGATTGCCAACAAGGGATTTGCCACCAAGTACGAAGTCATGTTTTGTGAAGGGGATCAAATACTTATTTCCCTCATGAACATGCAAATCAGTGCATGTGATTTGTCAGACATGCATTTCTTTTGCATTTTTTGTTGCTATTCTATCTCTGTCTTACAATACACCTACCATTCGATTTTTAGACTGATCATTTCTTTGTGAGTGAGCGAACATTCAAAATCAGCAAGGGATCAAATACTTATTTCCTTCACTGTATACATCAGACAAAATGAGGGATATAAAGGGCAAAGGAATTTGGTCTCAAAGGAGAAACAGTCCCTCCGACTCAAGGACAGTTGGGAACGATGAGCGCACACACCACCTGTATTAAAACAAACAAAAAACAGTACATAAACATTCTCCAAAAAATATAATGGTTTGCTTAATGACTGTTTTATATACCTTTTTGTTTTTCTCAGGTGGTATAAGGGCTTAGCAGTTCATCCATTTCCATGGAAGGGCCGCTTTAGCCAGCTCTGTATGTAGTGGTGTTTTGCCACAGCTGCTGGCAGTGTTATTATAATGACTGTTATGATAAAATCAAAGTGGATGTCGATTCATAAAGATTACATCACGTTATCTCTTCCTAATATAAACACTAGCTTCAGGCTGGTGAAAGCTGTGAGTTTCAGTAGGTGTCTACTGAAAAACACAGGAGGGGGGGGGGGGGGGGACATATGAGGTGGTGGTAAAAATGTGAGGAAGATTAGAAAATTAAGCTTTCAACTATTAAATACCAGTTCCATACAGAAAAAATTACTGCAAGCCTAAGGGATGTTTGTTTCTGTGAATTGAACAGTTTTGTATGATAATTACAATAAGATTAGAATAGTGTCATTATAAAAACACATCTATCATAGTGCATTGAGCCTGTGGTCAGGCTTGAGTACAATGGAAATACATTTCCCATTTATGAATTGTGGAAGTCTGCATGTTTTTGGGCAAGCATTTTGAAAACCAAGAACGCATGTATGCCTTCTAGATGTAGGTTCTATATACAATCAGTGGTGTATTTTGTTTTTGTGCTGCCCTAGGCAACGCAAACACCTCCCTCCCCTCCCCTTCGCCTATCGTTCCTCTGCCTCCACTGCAGCAGCCTCTAGTGGATCCCAGCTCCTGCTGTTCCTCTGCCTCCACTTCTCCCCAACCACCGTCTGCCACTGTGTCACTTCTGTCAGAGGGCTGCGCTGCCCCCCTGAAAAATGCCGCCTTAAGCAAATGCCTTGTTTGCCTTGCAGCAAATACAGCCCTATATCCAGTATTTTGTAAACCCAAGGGCATTTCTTTACGTCCTAG